ATGTGTTTACTTTTATTTCTGTCATCTCGGTTTCCTTTCCGTGGACTTTCGTAGAGCGCCGCGCCACACAAATAGCCTATGAACCAAACTCAGCAGCATATCTCGCAGATTTTTATTTTTATTTAAACTTAATTTTTGTTGCTTGTCTGCGCTCGTCCGCCGCCTTTTTTCTCTTCTCCGACCCCGCAGCTCTCTCTCCGATAGCTTAGTGTTAGTGGCACCAGTCCAGGTGTTTCCAGGTTTTACTCGTGCTATTTCTCCATGTTGAGAGTTTGGTGTTGCACATATTGCACCTGACTATGCATTCTTATGCTTTTCTCCGATGAACTGAAAATAACAGGAGTGTGTCCATCTCACAAATGTAGAATCCGTCTCTGCAGTCATCTCAACCATCTAATTCCAGCAACAGAAGATAGACAAACTATTTTACCCGCGGATTTTTTTCTCTGGTGCTGTTTTGCGGTGTTGGTAAATTCACCACTTAATTTTGAGTTAAAATATGTTGTTGTAACTTGCGTTACTGAGATTGTAACGAGTAATAATATTACCCAAATTTTATTAGTAATGCGTTATATTACTGCGTTACAGCTAAACGTAATATACTACTGTAATATTATTACTTTTGTAATGCGTTACTCCCAACACTGTTTATGATAAATTGTAAACTAAATTGTAAAGCTGTGCGTTTAGCATGTTCAGTATATATTATTTATTATTTGCAATATATTATTTAGAGAAGTAAATGGAAGCAATTACTGAAAATAATGAAAAGGAGGCATCGTGTCCCACTACTAGGGTAAACTGCCATCTGATTTCTACAAGGTATTATAAATACAATACATTATTTTAAATAAATTATATTTTTGAAAAAGGTACCATTCATGTAAAATTCTAATTCAGATTCTAAATCAGAGTATATGTTAATATATGTATTTTACAGCGTAGTTGAATAAATTAATGACAAACAAATCAAACAGAATTTCAGTCGAAGAGACTGAAAAGTCAGCTATTGCATGAATTATATGTAAAGTTATAATGTAATTGTTGGTAACTGTCATAACAGCAGTAGACTATGAATTCTGCTCAGTTAGCCTGTAGGTTATGATGAATAATGAAGATGTGTGAAATGTATAATCAAGGAAAAATTTATTAATTATAATATGTATTACAACACATAATAACTTTTAATTTCTAAATAAAACAATAATTTCCCCCTAAAAATCTAAATGAATTAATTACTGTTGACAGTGTCCTTTTAATAAATAGACATATAGTAATATCCATGTTCATCCATCCACCTATATCAATCTATCTGCCTGTCTTCTCCAGCACTGGCCACTAGATGGCGCTCCTCCGCCCCCTCTCTTGGCGCACGCATGCGCAGTCGCTCGCTTTCCCGTCCTAATAACAATCATTAAAAACGAACAGCAACCCCCGAAGATTGCTACTTCATCAGGCCTTTATTTTCAACAAACCGAGCCAATCATGACAGAATTACGACACCGAGGAGCGACGGAAAAAGAGCTGCAGCATCAAAACTCGGAGGATAAGGTAAGTTACCGAATAAAGAAAGATGTGGAGAGATGCATGTTGTCATGGCTATCATTTGAGCTACATGCTGTCATATATGAAGAGAGAAATAAAATCGATTATAGGCCGTTGTGTTTCTGGATCCCGCGTGCAAGTGTCTTGTCACAGCACGAAAGCTGTTTTAATGCGTTGGTTTGATAAAAGATTGTAGTTTCTAGCGTTCATGAGTGTGTAATACAGTAGAGTAGAGCTCGTGGAGAGAGTCTGAGCATCATCAGGGGTCTGATGTTCTTCCTGAACTTCTTATGTACTGAAGGTTTTCTGCCTGTGTCCCAAGAACAACACAAAAAAAACACACCTATAAGGCCCCAGTGTATTTCTTGCAGTTGCCATGTTGCTGAAATGAAGTTAAGCGGCATGAACAATCCTTGCTCTGTTCAGTTCAGGACAGTGAGGTTAAACTCTTCTGGGTGAGCTGTGCTTTCTGCAGAGTTAGAGAGTGTTTGGAGTGCATGGACTGATCTTCATGCTATATAGAAATAAAGGTAGAAAACATGGAGACTGAGAGAGACTTGGGCAGATGGGTGAGTCAACATTCACGAGTAAAGTGTCTTGACCTGTAGGCATGGGCTCAAACCTTACAGAGAGATCACAGTATATAAACAAGACTCATTTAAGTGACTAAGTTAATAGCAATTATTTGTGAATACTTTAGGAATTTGTTCTCTTCTGTATTTGTCCTCTTTTTTTGAGCATCAAAGGTCAGATTTTGTCAATAGTATGTGATAATGTTATTGAAAGGGCCACAGTCTAAGGAATTTTTGGGTAAACTGTCTTATGTGCAGCCTTTATATACTTGGTCAATAGTTTTTGAGAATTGTCTTTGGTTATTCGGTTTTGGTGGTTCACCATATAACTTCCTTCTCTGTGTTATGTTGTATTTTTGTCATAAATGTATTTTAAAAGAAGAAATAAGCACAACAGCCTGTTCTGTCTTTAGTGCTGCCAACATGCTGGAGTGATGAAAGAATAAGCCAAGCGTGTGTAATTGTAGCTGTGCTTGCTAGTGTAATGGCAGGGTCTATATTATGCTAAATAGATTACTTTTTCATATGAAACACTGAGTCCTAATACTTGATAATGCAAATGAAAACTTGTGCTGCCTTCATTCGCATATCAACTGTCAGGCAAATGGACTAAATGTGGTCATGGTCTGACTCTAACCATTTTTTTTTATTATTTATTTTATTTTTTTTTACGTTTAGTATCTGTCTTATTTGTTTTTTAAAGTCAGTATGAAAGTTTCCAACTCATTTTGCTTTCGTAATCTGACATTTCAGAGCAAAATAGAATTTTCAGTATAGGTTTTGTGATTTTTGTCCGTTGCTAATTGATTGAATCAAAAAAGACATTGCATATCAGATTTTTTTCTTCTTCATTGTTTTCCCAAAAACAAAAATTGTGTCATTTACTCACCCTCATGTTGTTCCAAACCTGTATGACTGACTTTCTTCTGTGGAAGAGGATATTTTGAAGAATGTTGGTAACCAAACAGTGGAATTTTAACCCATTTCTCAAGCTTTTAAACAGATTTGTATTTGTGTTGCTGTGAGAGTTAAAGAATTTTAAGAATGAATTCGAGAGGCGAGAGAGGCCTGCTGAGTTTATTACATTAGACTAGTTTATTACATTGTAATGAAATAGAGAAAGACACTGTGTCCCTGTTGAGTTTAGGATGAAGTACACTACATGGCCAAAAATATGTAGACAACTCACCCATATGTGCTTGTTTAATATGGACATTAATAGTTAATTTGCGGCTGTAACAGCTTCCCTCTTGCCAGTTGTTGCTTCAGTCCGTACTAAAGGCGTTCAGGTCTGGTCTTACTTTATGCAGACTAGTCAGATTCTTTTACATTTATCTACATTTAGAGTAGCAGAAGCTTTTATCCAAAGTGGCTTACAAATTAGTAATACAAGAAGCGATTTATCATAAGGAGACAATAACATGTGAAGTACTAGCAATACAAAGTTTCAAACATTGTCTTAAAAACTACAAGAAGGAGGGATAGGAATAGTGGGAAGAAAAACTTGTTTTTCTATGTCAGCACAGGATACAGGGACGCGTCTGTCCAGATAGGGTTAGGTAAATTCTTGTACCGGATAGTGTTAGGTAAATTCTTCCACAGCAGACCAAATCATTTTACTGGTGGCATACGATGATATTGCCACGTTGAAAGTCACTGAGCTCTTTAGTACACCCAATTCTACTGTAAATGTTTGTCTAGGGAGGTTGTATGCTTGATTTCATGCACCTGTAAGTAGGCATGGGCCGGTATTAGATTTTGACGGTATGATAACCTTAAGCAAAAATATCACGGTATCACGGTGTTGTCGTTACAGCTCTAAAATGTGTTATTTTTAAATGACTGGGTAAAAAAAAAAAAAAAAAAAACCTTTTTTCTGCTGAACACAATATATTGTGTTTTTGAGCAACATACAGTATATTAGGAATAGTAGAATTTGTTTATTTTTTCTTTGATTTGTTTCCTAAAAAAGACTGACATCTTTATTTAACCTAAATCTGTAATTACAGTTATTTAATTTTAGTTATATAATTCATATACATATCATTTATATCATTTCATATCATTTAGTTATATAATTTCATACACATAATTT